TTGTGACTGTTGTGTATTTTTAATATTGTTTGTATTGTCTTATTTATCCCCTTCCCCCATTTCATTGTGAGCCGCCCGGAGTCCTTCGGGAGTGGGCGGCATACAAAACCAATAAACGAACGAATTATGTCTTACTGCATCATGGATGTCTTTTATTTTCAGATTGCACTTAAGTGCGCAGACATTTGCAATCCTTGCCGGCTCTGGGAGTTGAGCAAACAGTGGAGCGAGCGAGTTTGTGAGGAATTCTACAGACAAGGTCAGCAATCTGATATATTTTCACCTTGGCTCTGTGTTTCTGAATCATAATTTTAATATGAAGTGGCTGTGACTAGTCATCTTATTTGAAGTTGCTAAAAAAAATTTGGGGAAAACCCAACCTTCTTAAATAAATGCCTTCTTTTTTAAAAAAGAAAAAGAAAAGAAAAGAAAAGAAGGTGATTAATACAACCATAGCCATTTAATTGTCTTGATTAACCTTGAACAGTAGTGTTCACTAGTCTTTTTAATAGTAACAAAAGATGATGAATCAGGGCCAGAGTTCTCAAAACTTGGCAACTTTAAGATTGTGGATTTCAACACCCAGAATTCTCCAGAATGGATTAAGGGTCTGACTTGGCCTACATGTAGAACTCTCAACATTTTGATTTCCCCTCACCATTCCATCCCAAAGGAAAATCCATTTGCAGGTGTTTGGAAGAGCCTTCAAACCAAAGCATTGTGTATTGATATAATTGTTCTCACTTTATATAGTATGACTAACCCAGCGGGTAAAAAAGGCCTAGTGACTTGCAAAGTAGTTTCCACCTGAAAGGACGCATCTTATTCAGATTATCCCAATCAAATACCCTTCAGCTGCATTTGGATCACAATCTATGAAACATCTAACCCAAATGTGACCCCCCCCCCCCAGCTGGGAATTTTGGGTGTTGAAATCTTGTAAATGTGTGGAGCATAAAGTTAGGGAAGATTTACATTACAGGTTATACTTCTGACCACCCAAAGCTACTGATAATTGCAATGCATGTAAAAGGTGCATGAAAGCAATGATAGCAAGTAACACATTGTGGTACATATCTTAGATTAAATAGACATCTTCTCCAAGAAATAATACAAAATTTGCAGTTTAATAAGATAAAATGACTTACAAATGTCTACCAATAAAGTAATGAAATATAAATACAACCACTGTACTCTATCTGTACCAATGTAGAGGTTTCCAGCACATCACTTAAGTACTACAAATGACCATAAAATAATTTGTGTAAGAAAGGAGTCCTATATCTTTTCTTAGCCTTGCATGATTTGGTAACAGGCATGTGCAATGTAGATTGTAAAAAGCTGTGTATGAATATCAGATGGATAAAATTAGTTTCCTCTAGGATTTGCAGAATTCAGACAGATTAGCGTATAAATTATTAAATTTTATTTATTTATTTGTACTCTGCCTTTATTTATTTTTATAAATAGTTCAAGGTGGTGAAGATATCTAACATATCTTCCTTCTCCTATTTTCCCCACAAGTTCCTGGGGTTCCTGTGAAGGTGAACTGGGCTGAGAGAAAGTGATTGGCCCAAGGACATCCAGCTGGCTTTCATATTTAAGGCAGGACTAGAACTCATGATCTCCCACTTACTAGCCTAGTGTCTTACCCAGTAGACCAAACTCTTAGAGCTCTACACACAAAAACGTTTATGGTGTCAAAATGTAATCATCCTTTCTGATAGGTGATCTGGAGCAGAAATTTGACTTGGAAATAAGTCCTCTTTGTAATCAGAAGAAAGACACAATACCTAGTATACAAATTGGTGAGTATACCATGTATCATTAGCCTGACCTCCTAATAAGTACCATAATTTTTCTATTCCATGAAAAACTACTTGGCAGTCAGATAAAATATGTTTTATAATCCTTTGGGATACAAAGCTCACTGCTTGTGAGTTTTGCTCCATTTTACAACCTTTCTGGCCACAGTTGCTGGAATTGGGTATGTCTAGTTTGATGAAAAGAAGGACTGGGGTGACAGGATAGCAGTGTTCGGATATCTCAGGGGCTGCCACAAAGAAAAGGGAGTCAGGCTATTCTCCAAAGAACCTGAGGGCAGGACAAGGAGCAATGGGTGGAAACTGATCAAGGAGAGAAGCAATCTAGAACTAAGGAGAAATTTCCCGACAGTTAGAACAATTAATCAATGGAACAAGTTGCCTGCAGTAGTTGTAAATGCTCCAACATTGGAAGTTTTTAAGAAGATCTTGGATAACCATTTGTCTGAAATGGTATAGGGTTTCCTGCCTAAGCAGGAGGTTGGACTAGAAGACCTCCAAGGTCCTTTCCAACTTTGTTATTCTATTCTGTTCTGTTCTATTCTAGTTGTAATGTGAATCACTGCAGTTTTAAGTTAGTAACACAGTTGCTAAGCGAATCTGGCTTTTCCATTGACTTTACTTGCACAAAAAGTGATCACAAGATGCCACAAAAACGATCACATGACACCGGGACACTCCAACTGTCATAAATATGAGTC